CCGAGGCATTAAATGATCTACTAGTTACGGCCGAAGCTGCGGGGCAGTAACGCTTCGAGATCCAATCCTAAAGAAGATTACACGCTTCCACAGAACCAGCTGACCCCGTTCGTGTTCATTTGCCGAAATGCAGCAATTCTATCTGCGAAGACATTCGCTCTCCATTGTGAACGATTGCGTCATGTTCTCAGAGAGAGTAGTCATCCCACAGGTGTTGCAAGAAAGGGTACTGCGGCAGTTCCATGAAGGGCATCCAGGGCACAACCGAATGAAGGCGCTTGCCCGAAGTTAAGTGTATTGGTCGTTTATGGACAGACAGCTGGAGCAGGTAGCTAGAAGTTGTGGCAACTGCGCTACCGCTTCAAGGACACCGCCGAAGACTGGACTCCACTCGTGGCCTAAACCAACTAAACCTTGGAGTCGTGTTCATGTCAACTTTGCAGACCCAATCAATGGTCAGAACTTTCTCATAGTGGTCGACGCTTACAGCAAGTGAGCAGCACGAAAATCAGCGCAACAGTCTCGAGGTTGCAACAAATCCTCAGCTGGTTCGGCTGCCCTGAAACATTGATAACGGACAATGGAGCACAGTTTACTTCGGCCACATTCACGGAGTTCTGCAAACGCTGTGCGATCAAACACTTGCGGTCTCCATCATTCCATCCACAAGCGAATGGACAAGCGGAGAGAGTTGTGGAAACATTCAAACGCGCTCTCCTCAAATCAAGGAGGGAGGGAGACACAGAGGAGGTGATCGACCACTTCCTCTTTCTATACCGATCTACACAGAATTCACAAACGCCGGGTGGAATATCATCAGCAGAGGCAATGATAAAGACAATACTTCGCATGCCATATGATGCAGTTCGGCCGTCCTCAGAGTCCATAGCTGGTGAAAGGAACCTCAAGATGGAACGTGACTTTAATCGGCGTATTGTGTCAAGCGACGTTCGTTTAAACCGGGTCATCCAGTACTTGTACGTGATTATGGGGAATGACACGTAAAATGGACGCCAGGCACAATCCAGGGTAAGCGCGAGAACGTCATTTACAACGTGCTGGTTGGAACCCAGGTATGGGTACGCCATGCAAACCAACTGCGACCAACACTGTGTCAGGAGGGGAAGTATACGGGGAAAGGTAAAAACATAAAGGAATACCCATTATTTTAGCAATCAATCGATTATCTTCGATCGCGCATTGATTTCGAAGATTCCGGAACCTTCCATTCCTTCACGTGATCGCCAACATACGGAGTTTTGGCGGGAAGATTGCTAATTTTACCAGCCGACCTTCGTTTTCTGGAAGCCGAAGGTCATTGAGCCCCCAATATATTTGGCGTAGGTCAGGCGTAGTTGTACAGCGTTTTGGCAGCGTATTTGTTAACACGATTTTCATCGTCAAGGCCGTTGGACTTTTAATTTTTCTTCGGCTGGGCTAGAATTTTTGCGGCAGAAATTTTTGTGTGTTCAATTCGGAATAGTGTGAAAACGTGAAGATCTAAGAGATTTACAGTCGTAATGTGCATAGCTGAGTGAGTCCCCTGGTGTGAGCTCACACTTTGCGGGCAACTTCTCAGTATTTGGTGAGATTCCCTTTGACCTGTTAAGCTTTAGCATTATTCCCTATATTAAACCATCGTTCCAAAGAGGCCTAGTAAGAAAAACGGTTTTTAATTAGCCATGAGAACCGCCATAGTCCTCATGTAGACTGGGACGATATTTCCAGTCATACTGCGCATTGCTAACGGACAGCTTGCCCAGCTAATGAGATAAGTAGATGTGACTTTGTGTTCGTAGCGCACCTCAGCTTGCCTGAAAGTCAGACTACAGCTACTGACTTGACTTCGACTTCACTGACCGTATGGGAAGCGTCACAACACATTCGGATCGTTACGGTACACATATGCTCATGAGTATGTCTCCTGTGCTATACTACGCTAATTGATAGCTGCCATTTTGCATCGGAATCTGCTCAGCCCACGAAGCGCTGTATGTCGTAGTAGATAGGATAATCGAGCAGTGAGTTATCCGATCAACGATTTTATAGAAAGGAAGACAGAGAGCTTTGAATTTGTCAACATGCGGTATGCATAACTTAGGGAGCAAATGCATTGAAGAGGAGTAAAGCGCCCCAAGAACACAGGTGCGGAGGTAGGCAGGGAATAGAACCGAAGCTATTACGTGGATCCAACGGTCGGCTGTGATGACAATAGAACTGGGTGTTTCAACGGTTTCGCTCCCGGTCTAAAGTCGACCGATTTGAGTATCAGATTACTTAGTAGAACGAGGAGTCCAAAAAGTAAGAACGGTATCGGCGATACAGCGATGCTTAGTTTGGATGCGCCTCTGCTAAAAGTCAAACGCGGTCTGGGACAACGCAAGTGTTCCTGACCCAATGCAAGCCCGGAACGCGGAGATCGCGAGCTAAAAGCCACGGGTTGGCTAAACACCGGAAATACAGTTCGAAGGGTCAAATCTCCCAGATCATTTACCTAGCTGAAAGGAAAGTGACATTACGTCAGGAGCGTGACGAAGTCAGATTGGGCTTATCGGCTTGTTTCAAGTTCATGCATTTCATAGGAATTCACTGCAAAATCCATGTTGTACAACCCACCTATATCCACTAATTTCTCATTACGGGATCTGGGCGATAATTCGTTTCGACGTTTGTTAAGGATGGAGCCAGCCTAACCCGAATCCGTGTCAAGTTGCGCCAATGTACACGAAAAGGATCAGCAGTGTCCGGAAAGTGAAACTTGTCAGTAGGCGGTGGTTGTGCATTGGAACACAACAGCAGCAGCAGCAGTTTGGATTAATACAGTAACAAATGATCGAGACCGTCTCTTGAGAATTATCCTTCCAGCCGGCAGTGATCAACAGCTACATAAGAGCAAGACTGTCACTCGATATTGGTTTATCAAACTGGTAATCATCCAGAATGTCTGGAAGCCTCCAGTTGACGCAGGTATAAACGATGACTTACAGAAATGTTCAGAGCTCTGCAAAAGAGAAAACAGCAGTCCCATTTCTTAAGGCAACCGCAAGTAAACCGAGTGCCAGAAGGAACAGTTCAAACCGAACACAACTTTGCCAATTCGTCCAGCACAGCGAAGTGTTTATAAGAATATTCCATTGGGGATCTACAATGGATAACGGATCAATCCAGATCAGGCTCGAACAGGTGCTCCACAAAGCTAAAGTGAGTGAGTCAACTCAAACCAGATGTTAAGCAGCTGCAACATCCGTAATACCTGCAACGATTGCACATAACTTATCGTCTTTCCCGCGATTACAACCTTGCAGAGGGAGATGTTAGCGATAGAGCCAGCTTAACCTGAATCAGACCTTGTAAAAATATCCGAGCCAAGTTGCGCCATTGTGTACAAGAAGCGGACCAGCAGTGTCCGGAAAGTGGAATTTGTCTGTGGGCTGTGGTTGTGTACTGGTACATAACAGCTGCGTTACTGAAAAAGGGGTAAGCGCGCAACTGACTCTAACAGTTGTGTACAAGTATCAGAACAGCACGCTCCTACCATCTGACTCTCTGAAATTGCCTGTGGTTCATAGACACTGTTGTTGTCATTGGTACCTGTACAAACTTCACTATTTTGCATTCCGCTGTCCTATATCACGAAACGTATTTCCATCTGCTTTTGACAGTGGCAGTGATGTTGTTCTTACGTTCTTTTGCTGATTTAACCCCATACACTGTCCAATCGAATGCCCGCATGCAAAGCACTCAGCATCGGGTGCTGGAACGTGCGCACACTACTGGACCGGAACTCCAGCAAGCGCCCCGAGCGATGCACTGCACTCATAGTCGCGTTGCTTCGTCCTCCGAATGAATCGGACTAAATCAAGTAATGCGTGTGGGAGAGCCTTTCATCAAGATGTCTTTTGAAAATCGTTATGGTAGGGACAGAGATGATTTAGATTGTAAGGGCGTTCCATGTTGGGGAAACCCAGAGGGAGAAAACGCTTTGTCAGCAACCAAATCGACTGTAGTGTGTGGCCAGTTTGAGCTACTGGTCTCTCTGTATGATATTTTCGTTCAGCTGCAACAAGTCGCGTGAGGCATGATTTGAATTCGTCATTATTAAGTAAACCATGATAGTGTCTCCTCGCTGACGTCGATATTCCCCACTGTACAATCTCAAGGCACGCAGTCTGCGCCCGTGGTGCAGGTGATTCAACCATCTAACGTGTTTGGTCCCCCTACTTTGGGAACATCAAGTGCACCAACCTCGCGCTTGCGCGAGTGACACCATATCCGGATCGCATATTCCACATAAGCACTCGGCATTTGTAGAATGACTGATAGCCCAAACTGTTAGGAAGGAATAAACGAGTCGAACAAGCCAGGACCCCATCGTCTCGGCCGGCTATCCAAACCCATCCGCCCTGATTGGGGCGAACAGAGAGCCAACCAGGAGAAGCGGCCAATGAACGCTAGGTTGAAGTTCTTTTATTGGCTGTAAGTTAACCTTTCCAGAGCTTTCCACGGTCGCTTTAAATATATTGTTCACGAACTTTCCAATTTACCTTTATAATGAACGGTGTGATTTGCTAATTCATTCCTGTTGCCCTGCTCGTCCGATTCGTCTTCTCTCTGTCCTGTGGGGGGCCAGCGACTTCGGGTTTGATTGGGAATCAAGCGTCCATTCAGGCAAGGGACGAACACTTCAACTGGCGACGGTTTGAACCCTAATCAATATGTCCATATCGGCTGACGAGCTCAAGGCCATTCTACTGCAGCAACAAGCACAATTTGAGGCATCCCAACTCAGGCTGATCGAAACTCTTACGCGCCAACTCTCAATCCAGACCGGTTCACTGTCTACAACCGTCAAGCCGTCCGCATCGGTAGACGCCATCACTAACAGCATTACCGAATTTTCGTACGACCCCAATGCTGGCCTAACTTTTGAATCTTGGTTCAAGCGTTATGAAGATGTGTTCCGCGTTGAACTTGGAGACCATGATGACGATTGGAAAGTCCGATTGCTGTTAAGGAAACTTGGAACAGCAGAGCACTCCAGGTATGTCAACTTTATTTTGCCTAAGAACGCTCGAGACTGCACTTTTGAGGAGACTGTCAAATGCTTGGGCCAAATATTTGGAGAGCAGTCATCCATCTTCAACACACGATATCAATGCCTGAAGATCGCCAAGGCAGACGCTGATGACTACGTCACTTATGCTGGCATCGTCAATCGCGAGTGTGAAAAATTCGACATCAAATCCATTACGGCAGATCAATTCAAATGCCTGATTTTTATCTGTGGCCTACATTCCCCACGGGATGCAGAGATTCGCACCAGGCTGCTGAGTAAACTTGAACAAGACCAGCAAATGACTCTACAGACCATAACTACTGAATGCCAACGATTGCTGAACCTCAAGCATGACACTCTTATGCTGGAGAAACAACAATCCATTCCAAATCTTAGTGTATTAAAGACAACCTCAAAGAAACCGCTTTCAAGTGAAACAGGCCAGGAAAAGCCCAGACAGAATACCAAGCCGCCGACTGCCTGTTGGAGATGTGGTGAGTGGCATTTTGTTCGAGTGTGTCCATTCCTGCAACACGTTTGCCACAAGTGTCATAAACGGGGCCATAAGGAAACGCACTGCCGATGCAGACCGCAGTTCAAGCGTGCAAGACATACGCGACCGCATTCAACGGTTCCCAAAAGATTCAGCAACTATAGTACGGTTCAAGCGGCCTACTCTGATGAACATGTGGCTCGCAGAAAGTACGTCAGAGTTCACCTGAACGGGCATCAAGTGCGTCTTCAGCTTGATACAGCCTCGGACATCACAATTATCTCCAGCAAAACTTGGCAAAATATTGGTGCTCCGTCAATCAACCGAACGACACATGTTGCACTTAACGCTTCAGGAGATCAACTTAATCTCATTGGTGAGTTGCAGTGTGAAATGGTTTTTGGCGCTGCTCGGGCAAACGGTGTCGTGTACATTACGGGCCTGTCACATTTGAATCTTCTTGGACTCGACTGGATCCAGAAGCTCCACCTGTTCGACATCCCCCTGAGTCAAGTCTGCAATACCCTCCGGCTCGGAGATACGAGGCCCTCTTCAGAAGGTGACGGACCAAACATCAACCTGATCGAGCAGCTACGAAGGAAATTCCCGGCTGTGTTTTGCAACGACTTGGGAAGATGCACAAAGACCAAAGCAAGCCTTACTCTCAAAGACGGTGCCAAACCCGTATTCCGACCCAAAAGACCGGTACCGTACGCTGCGCTGCCGATTGTTGATGCGGAACTTGATCGTTTGGAGCGGGCAGGCGTCATCCAACCTGTGAACTACTCAGCGTGGGCAGCACCTATTGTTGTCGTCAAGAAGACCAATGGAGCCGTTCGTATCTGTGCTGACTACTCTACGGGATTGAATGCTGCTTTGAAAATGCACCAGTATCCTTTGCCAGTCCCAGAAGATTTATTTGCCAAGCTCAGTGGTGGCGCTTACTTTGCAAAGCTAGATTTATCAGATGCTTATCTTCAAATTGAAGTCGACGATGCTTCAAAGGAATTGCTGGCAATCAATACGCATCGAGGGTTATACCAGTTCAACCGTTTGCCGTTTGGTGTCAAATCAGCTCCCGCGATTTTCCAACAAATTATGGATACGATGTTAGCTGGGTTATCAGGAGTCGCAGCTTACTTGGACGACATCATAATCAAAGCGTCTACCTTCCGAGAGCTGACGGAAAGACTGGAAGCAGTTCTCCACCGCGTTAACGACTACGGTTTCCACTTGAAAGCAGAAAAGTGCAATACTGGCATGAAGTGTGTAAAGTATCTTGGCTTCATCATCGACAAGGATGGCCGTCGTCCGGATCCTTCCAACATAAGCGCCATAAGACAGATGCCTCCACCTGACAATGTGGCGAAGCTCAGATCATTCTTGGGGTTGATCAGTCATTACAGCTCTTTTGTGCCCGAAATGCATCGGCTACGAGGACCACTCAATGAACTTCTGGTAAAGGATCGCAAATTTGTGTGGTCTCCTGAATGTCAAGCCGCATTTGATAATGTCAAGTCTATATTGTGTTCTGACCTATTGCTAACGCATTTCAATCCGGAGCTGGAGATCGTAGTTGCTGCTGATGCGTCAGACTACGGAATTGGAGCAGTCATATCCCACATTTTCCCCAATGGTTCGGAGAAAGCTGTGGCGCATGCGGCCAGATCACTCACCCCAGCGGAACGTAACTATGGACAAATCGAAAAAGAAGCTTTAGCCATAGTGTTTGCAGTCAAGCGATTTCACAAAATGCTCTATGGACGAAAATTCACGCTGTTTACTGACCACAAACCCTTGGTCGCAATCTTTGGATCAAAGAAAGGCATTCCGGTCTGCACGGCCAGTCGTCTCCAACGCTGGGCAACGGTTCTACTTGGTTACGATTTCGTCGTCAAATATCAATCTACACACAACATTGGTCAAGCAGATGCGTTATCTCGTTTAATTGGTACACAACATCAAGAACCAGAGGATTTGGTAGTTGCTCAAATCTCCGTAGAACCCCAAGTACAGCAAGTTGTGTCTGATATTTTCGGTGCCTTACCAGTAACATTCGAAATGGTGCGGGAAGCGACCCAGCATGATTCTACCCTTCAACAAGTGATTGATTTCCACCTCAATGGATGGCCTAAGAGAGTTACAACGCCGGAGCTTCAACAATTCCACCAACGGAAGGAAGCACTATCGGTCGTCAGAAACTGCCTGCTGTTCTCAGATCGCGTCGTCATTCCACACATCCTTCAAGATAGAGTCCTCCGACAATTTCATACTGGCCACCCGGGAATGAATCGCATGAAATCCCTGGTACGAAGCTATGTGTATTGGCCCTATATGGATTCCCAGATCGAGAGTTTAACCAAGAATTGTCACCGATGTGCAAGTGTATCAAAACAACCAAGGAAGACGGAATTGCAATCCTGGCGAATACCAACGGAACCATGGTCAAGGGTACACATCGACTTTGCAGGTCCAATTGATGGTCACCATTTTCTCATTGTTGTCGATGCCCACAGTAAATGGCCGGAGGTGATTCCAATGGTCAGAACCACAGCAGCAGCCACTGTCTCCGCTCTTCGACAGATATTTTCTCGTTTCGGTGTTCCCCACACGTTGGTTTCGGACAATGGAACACAATTTACCTCATCTGAATTTGTCGTCTTCTGTCGCAGAAACGCGATCGTCCACGTAAGGTCTCCACCCTTCCACCCACAATCGAACGGGCAAGCGGAACGATTTGTGGATACCCTCAAAAGAGCTTTGCTAAAGATGAAGGGGGAAGGTACCCTGGAGGAGATTCTTGACACATTTCTGCTGACGTATCGCACAACTCCGAATCCGCAGACTCCGAACGCCCTATCTCCGGCTGAAACTTTGTTTCAAAGGAAAATCCGTGTGCCGCATGATGCCCTCAGGCCCAGGAAGGATCAGTTGCTGTCCCGCAACTATCAGATGGAGCGACAATTCAACATCCGACACGGTGCTCGGAAGCGAAGCTTTAATGTTGGTCAACAAGTTCTGGCGAGAGACTATCGCATCCACTATCCTAAATGGGCTATGGGCCATGTACTATACAAACGTGGTAACGTGATATACGGTATCCAGGTTGGGACGGCAGTTTGGGTAAGACATGCCAATCAGCTGCTAGCGGCACGGACTGCGGAACAAGTGCAACAACAAGTACCGGCAACGCAGTTACCTCTGGACATCCTGGCAGACGCCAGTGAAGCGACGACTCCCCCGCATGCCCCAACACCGCAAGCACAAAATTCACCCCGAAACCTAGCAGCACAGCGGCCGAAGCGGCGACGCAAATTCGTATCACCCATGCAAGTCAACCCCAAGCTGAAATCGTACAACACAACTCAAAGGGGGGAAGTGTTAGGAAGGAATAAACGAGTCGAACAAGCCAGGACCCCATCGTCTCGGCCGGCTATCCAAACCCATCCGCCCTGATTGGGGCGAACAGAGAGCCAACCAGGAGAAGCGGCCAATGAACGCTAGGTTGAAGTTCTTTTATTGGCTGTAAGTTAACCTTTCCAGAGCTTTCCACGGTCGCTTTAAATATATTGTTCACGAACTTTCCAATTTACCTTTATAATGAACGGTGTGATTTGCTAATTCATTCCTGTTGCCCTGCTCGTCCGATTCGTCTTCTCTCTGTCCTGTGGGGGGCCAGCGACTTCGGGTTTGATTGGGAATCAAGCGTCCATTCAGGCAAGGGACGAACACTTCACAAACATTCCGAAAGTGTCCTTAAGAGTCCAAGATGTCGACCGGATTTGCCTGATGCTTTTCGGCCTGTTTCGAGTTGCCAAGATTATCCCGCACCATCAGCTTATGGCCGCTTCTAATGGATGCGCCTTGCAACTGCTGGTCCCTAAGTTCAGGTTTACACTAAAACCGTATGCTCACGGCTTTGCATTTTGTCAGGTTGAGCCGGAGCCGGTTTTCGGATGACCACGTATAAGCCCTGTCATAATCGTACTGCAGCGCCATTTGATCGTTTACTGTCTTGTTGTCGTACAAGTTTTGACATCGTCTGCAAATAGTAAGTAGTTCTATGGCGATTCACTGTCAAGATCGTTAATAAATGCCAGAAATAAATGTGGTCAAGTACCAGTCCAGTGTGGTACGTCACACTGGACTTCAAGCGCATGGGAAACAGATCTGCGGACCCTCGCATTCAACTGAAGTTAAACGACCATATTGCTTAACCAAAGGATCACTGGGTCAGCAATTCCATAAGTTTGAAACTTATGAAGGAGAATACGGTGGCCCAGGTGATCGAACGCTTTGGAGTAATCCAGTTAGATGACGTCGGCTCCTACTCTGGCAACGACTGATTCTGTTCAGCTTGCTCAGGCTAGAAGTACTTGTCTAATGCAAACCGCTTTCGGTGGAATCCCAGCTACTGTGAGAATGTGATGTACACGCATGGACAGTGAAATAGAATTTGAACGACAGTGTCTGAGACTTCAACATGAGCAGGAATATGGAAGCAGCAACAGCTACAGGGAAGCCTTCATACACAGTGCAATGAATTGGAAACACTTTCGTCCGTTTATTGGAAATGACTCAGAAATGAAAGAAAATCTTCAATCGACGACCGGATGGATGACTCATTATAATGGTACAAAAATACCACACCACTTTGCCCTCGGGCCTGTGCGCGTACCTTTTCATGAAATGAGTATTCGACTCATTCTTTAACATATTTGACGGCCTAAGGAGATGAACCATCTGTTACCCCGGCGTTAGCATTATATAATTACAGTGGCAATGCTTTATGGTGTACATCCTATTATATACTTGGATTACGCTTCGTAAGACAACTGCTGAAACAATGAAAGAAAGCAAAAGCTTTCCAAGTCACGTACGTGAAGAAGGAAACCAAAAGTACGTACATCAATGAAGAGTGACGCGTGTAGAGGAACCGGGTGTTCGCTATACCTGTGTGCAATGTTTGCTTACGCTATACCTTTAGCACTAACTTGGGTTCAAACCTTGTAAGGTAGGTGGTGTGGTAAACATAAATAACAATGCAAATTATCAGTTGTTCCTAATCTGTAACCTCCGATAGTTCTTCATAGATTATTCTGAAATTCTGACAGAAGGTTACATTCTAAAATGACCAGGTTTCTGCATACCTACTAATGTGTATATGCCAATGTTACGATTACATGTATAATGTTTCACTATTGCACAAAATTTTAATGGGTTTCGAAATTTTCATTGTGCATGAGTAGATGGGTTTGGTGAAGGTTTTATTGGGTTCATGGCAATTAGATTACAATCCACTAAATTTCAACATTGCATGTGACATTGTGTTGCATTTGAGCCGTGTCGCTCATCATGGCCTTCACTCTGTGAGCATCGTACTATTTTATGATTTCGAGTTTTGCTGTACGTTTCTGACGGTTTTTCTTATTTTGCAATACACCAGGCGGTGAAATTAAGCTTTGAAGTTTACTTACGTTTAAATATAACTAGGTCACTAGTATCACAAATTTCTTGCTTACTTTTTCGTTTTTGCTTTTTACCATTTGCAATTTATATGTTTTTACTAAATCATTCCCTTCTTTTTAACTACAATAAACCTGCCTTTGTGCACCCAAATGATAACCCGCACGAGGTCAATCTTTGGTCGTTGTAGTCGCGTAGCGGAAGAAGTGCGATGATGAAGTTTAATTCAGATTGGGGTAGGATGGCAATAGGCGAACGATCGAAAACGACGAAGAGTGGCCTGAATATGGGGAGAGGAAGCGGTGATGTGACGTGCATCCGGGCTAGAAGATGCACCGTTACGATCGTGGAGATTGTGTTTTGTAGCTTCAAATGTGCTTTGTTCTCAAGAGAATGAACTTAACAAACTAAGACGGGTTGGAAGACATAAAAGCGAAACAGAAGATCAGCGTCAAACACGGCTGCATGCCTAGCAATCACATGAATATAATCGCTTTGCATTCCGGTACAAGCCAGCTGAATTTGAGCCGGCATGTTCTCATCGGCCTTATGACTGAAATGTGTCCGTATTTCCAGACGCTGAACTTTAGTAGAGAAAAGAAACAAATGCGTTACTCCTCCGGAACAATTAAACTGCCTCAAATTGGAGAACCGCAAGTGTCATTAAAAACGTTGCCTGCTAGATATACCGCCGAACTAAAGCATTTCCCATTTAACATCGGGAAATACAATTCCTATTGCCAAATGCTGTCACTAGGTGAAAATTCGCAACAGCGTAATTCATGCCCACTTTTAGTGAAAGGACAAATTTAACATGAAGCTAGATACCTACTTCCGTTCAAAGATTGTCAATATAAACTTCTACAAACGTATTTCGTCGGTGTTGGCGATGTGGTTAATTAGGGCGTGGAAACAACGTGTAGACCGGATGTGGATCAACAAAGGACAGGATGATCTGCAACGCACCGTAATGATCAGCGAAGGGCACCAGAATGCATTCTGCTCGACCAAACGTCAGGAGTTAGCACCGAACTCACAAGCCCAAGTCCGCGTCGGTTTGTTACTAAGGTCTACCACTGCCTACTGTACACGTCCATAATTCACCACCATGGACTCAGTGGGGACGCAACAGCCGGCAAGGCAGTGCTCGGCCGCGTCCCTGAGGCGTGGTGGAATGTGGAAAAGGCCACGATCGATAGTACAGAGTGGAAATTTAGTTCGGACAACTGCACGAAAAAGCCAACTCCGTGTAACGTATTTCAACCTGCATGGGAATATTATCCATTTCGGATGGAGAGTGGACTATTGCACAAGTGTGAAGACCTGAAAGTCTGAATTTGCGCATAAGGAGTGAACGGCCCTCGATAGTAGGTCATGCTAAAAATTCGACCAACGGGGATTTAGGCAAAGGTAATTAGTTCGCCTCAGACTAGGTACTTTGAAATTGTAAGCAAAGGATACAAATATGTCACAAATGCAATG